GTTTGCCTTCCAATATATAGCTAAAGAGACATAAATGCAAACACTAAAGTGTGACTTCCATACATAACCATACCATAGTAGCGGTTTCCCTTAACGTATAGGGCCATCCAAGCAACATACATAGCATTATAAGGTGGATTTCCAACTCCATTCAGAAACCCAGATTATAAACAAATTTCCATTCATAAGGTAAATACATAGCATTATAACTATTCATATCCATGCTACTTTACAAAGAAATTTCCATTTGCAGTTCTTAAAAGAAATAACCAAGTATCCACATGTGTAGCTGACCAAATAAAGCCACATTTTTACGCCCAAGCCACAAATACATATCCAAGCTGCTTTCTCGCGACAAACATATATGGAGAGGGGGAGAGGAAGATTGACAGACATAGCACTCAATTCCTATGTCTTTGCACATCTAACACTTAGTATTAATAAAAGGAAAATGAAATAACTTTAGTAATAGGATAAAAAAATAGCATCCTTTACCAAAACTGAAATTAAACAGTGTGCTCCATCAATCTGAAACAATAGGAGTGGTAGCATACAGATTACTGAAATTAACTGAAATTAAATGTGGTGCAAAAGAAAACAGTGTACCCCAAGCAAATGTGGTCCAAAAGAAAAAATTTCATACAAACAAATGACAACATGAGTGGTAGCATACAGATAACTGAAATTAAACAATGTGCCCCAAGCAATCTGAAGCCATGGCAACCATATAATTCCAGCATATTGAAAGGCAACCATTTCTAAAAATTATACATGTGAAAGCATATCAAACTCTAGCTGGGAAAGAAGGCTCCATCACAGCCACCGCAAGCTTCAAAGACCACCAAAACCAATCCTCGAGGAACCACCTCGAAGCCATGGCTTTCACTTCCTTCCAATACCTCCATTTATTCAACAATGAACAGCTCGAAATGCCCCATGTGATTCTTATGTATTAACATATCTAATACCTATATTAAATAATTGAAATAAACCTTAATATAGAAGCCACAACATATAAGTCAAGTTATTGTAAATGATCCTTCAATGATTCATCCCATCTAACTGCAAATACCCATTCATGCCAACAAAATTTCATCAAAATATTCTATAAAAAAAACTGTCCGAGATAGGTTTCATGCCAACAACTGATTCCAAACTCTGAAGTGATTCCATACTCTGAAGGAAAACAACTTACTTACAAAGTTTGTTCCAAAATTTTCAATAGCTCGAAATGCCCCATTCATATTAAAGATAAAAATTCTCAAAATTTAAATACCATATTCATGAAGACATGATTTTGAGCAAAGCATATGTGTCATTTCATTGTATGTAAATTTATTCCTTAAATACCAATTAATATAGTTTCAGAGGCATTGATGCACAATAATGCAAGCTTGGGACATAAGAAGGCTAGAGAAAACAAAGGAAGAGAGTTTGGAGAGTAAGAAGATGTGGTCAAGAAATAACTTATGATTTAGTTTTCTGTTAGTATCTCATTAATTAGAGGACACCATATGTGCTTATTATAGCAATAAAAGCTCTAGAAATTAGCAGTTGAAGCAGTTAAAATGTAATTAGTGCAGCCATTATCCAAAAGATGTGTTATGATTGCTAATTAATCTCCCTCCCCTTCTCTCTCTATAGCAGTATAAGCTCAAAAAATGAGCAATTCATTCATTAAAACAATGACATGATTTTAATATGACGAAAATAATTAAACATAATCGAAAGACATAATATGTAATCAAATCTAAATGCCTTGGCTTATGTCATTTTCTATTTTCTCTCTCAAACCCGCCATCTCTGAAGCGCCTTCACCATCTGGGGTTTGTGACTCAGGTGAATCTATATCGATTTGTGGGATGGAACGTCCAACGTGGTATTTAAATGCCTCAGGTCGTATTTGCAATGAAGCTTCTTCTATAACGACAAACTCTGCATCTGTCCTGGAATGATGTCGTCTAATGAAGTTGTGGTACCATTGTTGCCACTACAATTTAAATCTGGACTTGTTTTGTAAATGGATAGATTGACATATCACGCAGAATTACCCATTTCTTCTTCCAAACCCCGAACGATCTCTCGATCACACCACGCAAGGATGAATGTCTTTTGTTAAACATTTCTTTCTTTCCTCGTGCAACCTCGCTCGATCTCTCGAAATTAGGTATATGATATTTTGTATATGGATATGGCTTCAAATATCCCTTTTTCATAGGATACCCGGCATCTACTAAGTAGTACTTACCTAAGTAAGGGTTTCTTTCATTTAGAAATTTTGAAGTAATTTGGATGGTTAAAAGATCTGAACGATTGTCATACCTGGTAGTGGATAAGGGAAACCATATTTTATGTTGCTATTAGCAAACTTGAAAACGCGGTTGTCGTGTGCGCTACCTTCTCATCCAGCCATAACATATGACAAACACATATTGAAATCACAGACAATCATTATATTTTGTGTTAGTGATCCGCATCGTCCAATGTATGCAACTTTCTCTTTGCTAGAAAGACGTGCGTCGACATGCGTTCCATCAATAGCTCCGATACAATCCTGCTATGAATGAATTAATCAATAATAAGATCATGTATATGAAATTTGATATGAAATTTGATTAACTAACATTTAAATATGGGAAGCGCCTTAAAGAACGACATATAACGAGGGTCATCGCAATATGTGTGGGAATGTACTGAAATGTTGGGTCCTCAGGTTTGACTATTTGACGAGCCAGACTCACCAGTGCATTCAACCCAGCTGAGAAATATCTACTTATGGTTTCGGATGAATGTTGAAACCGTTCCATAGCTCCTCTCATCAATTCATTCTGGGTCAAAATGTAGAGTGTTATTGCCAACATCTCTCTAGATGTTGTTCTTGATGATCCTTGAAGTCCGTGGAGGGTCCGAAGTTCATTTAGGAGGTCAAGGAAAATGACTTTTGTCATACGAAACATATTTGCAAAACGTGTTGGGTGGCCACGCAATAACTCTCTGATTCATCTATCTCCAATATTGTTGGATGTCATGCATGGGTTTCGATCAACATATGTGTTGTAGTAATGGTATAACAACGTAAGGGTGAGAGTAACAACGCGAATTTGATTAATTTGTCCTTCCTCCATAATATAAAATCTGGAAGAAAGGTAGACTTTTAAACCAGATAGCAAATAGTTATGTAATATCAGTAAATAGTATACAAAGATTAAGTGCATGTAAATTTGACTTCATGCAAAATAAATATGAAGAAAGTTGCATACATGCCGCACATTTCATTAATATTTGCATATGTAAACATCAAAGTTCGATATGTAGCTAAGATATTGAAGGATGAAAGAAATACAATACGCATAACGAGTACACCACATAAATAGAAAATAAGATAGCAAGCGAATAAGACAGCAAGCGTCCATCAAACAAATAGTCAATGAAGTTACATATATGGCATTCAATCTTTCATAAAAGAACACAAGTAAGGAAGACAAAATTATGGGTCTAAAGTCTCGAAGAACTGCCTCCGGGTAGAGTTTCCTAGCAACTTGACGTACTTAACATACATATCCTGGTCTTCCTTAATGTCAGGATATGTATTAAGGATCTTAAGACACTCTTGAATTGTGCTGTCCTTCGTAGTTTTGGAATTATTTTTGGAAATTTCAATCAATGTCTCAATAGAACCTCTAACAAATGCAACTCTTTTTTTATTTTTTTTTTTTATTTTTGGCAGGTCGGGGGCGCTTTGTTCCACCAGTGGATTGGATATCCGTGTTGATTTGGCTCGGACCTTCTCTTGAATCACCTATATGCTCTGTCTCTATATCCTCTGATAGGTTTGTAACAACCTGATCATTAGGGGTGAAAAAATGGGTTCTTGTTGCTACAACACCAGTAAACATGACATCCAACTTCTCCTCCAAAGCTGGTTCAATTCCATTAAATTTGATTTTTTTTGGCCCTGGTACAACCTGAAATCACAAAAAAAAATTCTAATTAATATTCCAAACATATGTCTCTAAAATTAACTTTAATTGGTGATATTATTATCGCTAACTTTTCTGCCCACGATTCCTCAGGTGCATCAATTGTCCGCTTTACTGGATCCCATCCCAATCCAGTTGATCCCCTTTTAAGCTCTTTCCAGAGTTTCCAGTCATTCTTTAATTGATCCCATTTGTTCTTTAGTTTCATCATATCGTAATCTCTTCCAGTTATTTCTTTGAATTTAATTGTGATATTATGCCAACCTTCTTTATTAAAAAAAGTTGTAGGTCGATTTCCCAATTCGACTTCCCTCACGCATAGATCACAAAAAATATTAGTAGCCTCCTTGTCCCACATAGCCGATGAACCAGAGTCCTTAGATTTACTCATCTTTTACTGTCTTATCAACGGATGGTAAGATGACATTATGACTGAAAATGAGACACTTAAGATATGGAATATGCTTATGTAAAACAAAATTCAAAAAATATAATGAATTAAAATATATATCAGTCTATGGGTGAAACATAAATGTGCTTTTCATATAACCATCATTTATGAGACCTTTTCTTTTTATTTTTCTCTATTTTTATAGTACCACTATATTTGAGTAATCACCAATTGAACTTTGGAACACAGAGCATATTAGAAATTCTAAACCAATGCTAGCAAAGACAACCCAAAAGACCATAAACCATAAAGCATATTATCTTCACCCAACTTTCTAATTTTAAACCAACAACCCAACTAGCATCATCATAGCTTGTTAAAAAACATACTTGGAAAACCTGCTTCAACAACAATGTATTGGATATGCCATAATAAGATAGTCAATTTTCTTTCATACAAGTAAAGACAGGGTTCTCATCGAAGCAAAAATTACTGAGTTGCATAATATCTGACACCTTCATTGAAGTAAACATGCTTATCACCATCTCAGTAATAGAATATTCATTGAACCAGTGCAAATTATTTGCATAAACATAACGTGAGAGCTCTAAAATAATTATCACCCAAACTTTCTTTGTTGCAAAACCACACATGCAAGAGATAACAATAATATCATCCTAATCTTTCAAATCACATAAAAACTATAACTATATTTACTTTAAAAAAAGTAAAATACACCTTCTAATGCATAGGTAAGATGACATATATGTAAAAACCGAAGTTTATGTAAATCTTCGTAATTAAAATAGAATGGTTCCAAAAACAGTACTGACTTCTAAGAAATTATGTGCCTTGTTGAAGAAAGTCAGAAAACATGGCCCAAAGAATATCAAAGATATGTAATACACTCCATTTTGCACAAACAAGCCGACAACAAAAGCTCCATTTTTTGTTCAATAAATGCAATACACTCCATTTTAGAAATAGTAGGCAATCCAAAATCAATTGTTATTTGCACTATGCCATTTGACTTTGTTGAATATCATTGTTATTGCAAAGCACATACAATATTCTTCACATAAACACGATTATATTTATCCTACCCCATATCTTCTACATATTCATAGATAATAGTTCACATATCCTCATAAAAAATAAAATATAAAGCAACTTTAATACCAAATCGCAGGGAACAGAGCATTGCATATATATCTTATAGCCTCAACAAATACCCTAAAAGAATCAAATCGCATGGAACAAAGCATTGCATCAATATCTTCTAGCCTCAACAAATACCCTAAAATCAGTAACTTTGAATAGCATGGAGACCATATGAAAAAAACTCGAAAAAAAAAATTTCGGTTAATACGAATATGCATTGTTCGAAGAAAGGTTGGGATGGGGAATGGAGAAGAAAACTCTTTGGATGCTTCAAACATATCACAAAAACAGTGGATCTATATTTTTACCGCCGCTACTTGCATATTCAGAACAGATCTAGGTTTTAGCCACCAAACAATTCCAAACAGATGGATCGAGTGAAATTTCTTGCCAAAAATCTTAGATCTCTCGGCAAAATGGGGGAAAGGAGGGAGGAGCCGAGCAAGGAAAGAGTTTTGTTACCTGCGGAGCGACGGAGGCGAGATCGACGCCAAATGTTCGAAGGAAGGTCGGCTGCGGGCTTAGGAGGGTAGCGGAGTAAAAAATGGAGCCCAAACGCAGATCGCGGGGATATACCCGCGATCCGCGTGTAATATAATATAAAAAAGTTGTTTCCAAAAACGCATGTAAAACGCGATATCCAAACACTAGGGCGGCGTTTTTAAAAACGCCGCCGCACATTTAAGCTGCCCCAAATAGGCCCTTAGTCACGTTCATCTACTCCATTAACCTCAATAGGTGCCAATATTGAAGATGTGAGTAATATTATATTTCATGATTTCTTCTTCAAATTATGAGAAGAGGGCTTCATTGTAACTTATGGCAACTACCTATATAAGTTGTTCCTATTCGGCGAATATCATGATTTTTTTTCTTTATAAATTTTCTATATTAAATTCTTGGATTCCTATACTTATTTCATTATATAGCCATATTATTCTTTGCTAAGAAGATTAAATTCTCCCTTTTTTTCCCAAAACATAAAATAAAAATCTCTCTCTATCTCTCTATCTCTCCTCTCTCTTTATATCTCTAAGAAAATATAATTAATTTAATAGTTTAAAGATATAGCTTAGTATAATAATATACAATAACTAAAAGGCAAGGTCAGTTGTTACAGCAATCGCTTTGACAATGTAAGTTCGCTCTGGTCTGGGGTTCAACTCTAGAGGCGACTGTTGCCTAAAAGGAGGAGGTCCTTGAATGAGTTGGCTCATAGGGTTCTGGCTCGCGCTACCCAGCGATGCTGTTGAATCCCAAAGGGATTGGTTGGCAATTCCGTCCGTCAACCATTCTTTCAAAAAAAAAAAAAAAAAAAGAAATGTAGAAGGCAAGGATAATTCTAGATGTGTGATGGTCGTAACAACTCTTTCCACAAACTAATCAGATCAAGAGATTTTTTCAAACATTAATTAGCTCTAGTTATTTTAAGCCAAACAGACCATTCCTATACGCAGCATTTACAAGATAAACCATTGCGATTTCTGGGCCAAGCAAATCTAGTTCAAAAAAGAAAATTTTAAACTAACTTTTACAGTAGAAAATGAAACATGAGAACACAAAATCAACAAAGACTTGGTGTAAACACACAAGTATTGTTTCATTTTGTGATCAACAATGCATCCAAGTGTCCATATACTTGCTTGCCATTTTGAATTAATGGCGCTTTGTTCTCTCTGCAATTAGTTTGCTCTCTCTCTCTCTCTCTTTCAAACTCTAGAGTAGCACGCAAGCTCCTGAATTCATCGTTTTGTAACAAGACATGAGTTTGAGATATCTGGTTTTTGCTTGGCAGCATATGGGTAGAATTTAAGGCGGAATTGAAACTAGAATATCAGTTTATGTAATGCTCGAATCTTTGTTATGACATCTAAAATATTAGTTTTGTTAAATTGGAAGAAATGAAAGCAACTTTTCATGCATAGATTTAGAACTTCAGAGATATAATTGTAAATATCAAATTTATATATATATATATATATATATAAGGAATGGCCGGAGGAGGCTATGATATCCGCTCCGGTCATCTCTCATGCGCCTATAATTTGAGTACCACACCCTGCACTCAGGGGCAATCGAACCTTAGACCAGAGGGGACTTACAAGTGACAAGCAGATATCCGACCAACTAATCTGATTATGCGGCACACATATATATATATATATAAATATATATATA